CGCTTTCTCAGCACGATCATGTCTTCATCCACCATCCTGCCATCGTAGCCATGATTGTATGCATCTCTTTTCGAAGCAAAAACCGCGCTGGAAGGTCTCTTCTGACGAATGAAACGCGGGTTGTGCTTCGGGTTGCTTGAAAATGGACTGGTTGGGAGTGATGGAGAATGATAGGAAGATGTTTGCATTGTTTTTGGACGTTGGAAGTAGGCAACAAAAATGGTAGATGGATTAGAAATTAATGTTGTGAGTTGTGAGGAAGGACGTGGTTGTGATATATTACATAATTTACATTTACACATGTATATATAGACAATTACTCCGTATTAGATATACTCGGGGAGAGAGAGAGAGAGAGAGACAGAGGGGAAGAGACCGTGTGTGTGGTGTGAGATTTCGCGTTAATAGTCGGCTGGGTGCGGAGAAAGTTGGCGTTGGGAGTGTAGGAATCTTCCAAATTAAGTTGTTTCGGCTTTGTCTTCTTGTACTCTTGCGGCGGCGATTTATTTATTTATCTAGACGGTCTAGAATATGAAAAAATAAAAAATAATAATAATTTAGAGGGTCAATAATTAAGCTTGGGCTTTAAAATTTATAATTGGGGCTTGGATCGAAGCCCAACCTAGTGGGTCTCGAATTGGGTTTGACCTTTGAAAACCAAACTTTTTTAAGCCAAGAAATTCACGTCGGTGCAGAGCTCCCTTTTTATCACAAAGACAAAATGTAGGACTGTTCCCGGGAGGATCACTGACTAATACTAATTCTATCTCCGTTTCGTATCAGATGTTTCTTTTGGAAAGCGTAATTATTACAAAAATTATAAAATTACCCTTTTAAGTTTAAATATATACATAATCACGTTTGATTTTTTTTTTTTTAAGGATATTTATGGAAAGAGGTGAAATATGTTGTTTAAATTTGGTAGGTGGACAAGTATTTTGGAACAATCCTAAAAGAAAAGATGGACAACTATTATGGGAAGAAGGGAATATAATAATATAATACTCCGTAGAAAGAACAATGTTTGTTTCAGACCCCAAAACAGCAACGTTATCAATTTGTAAAATTATTGTGTATTTTATATAATCTTTTTACACAACCACATCAGTATATTTCCTTTCACATCATTCTTTCTCATTTTATTAAAAAATCAACCCTATATTAAATAGGTTTGTAAAAATTATATGGCTTCAGGTATGACACTGGTTGGTTGTTATTGGGAAATATATTTTTACACATAACGTATAAAATAACCGCTGGAGCTAAAAATAAATAATCCAAATTTTTTATATAAATCTATTATGACACATTAGATTTACACATATATATATATATATATATTTATATATATATATATATATACACAACGATTGGAGATGATCTAATAGGAATGTCTTTCTGATGCTGACATAGACCAATAAAAATGTGACACGTGTCAAAAAAATTTTAAAATAATTAATAAAAATTGTTTAGATCTTTTTGCGGATTATCCAAAAGGAAAGATTTTTTTTCCCTTATGCCTTTGAGATTTTCTACTGCAAACCTTTCATATTGTAATCCATTATAGAAAAAGCTAAACAATTAGTCCAAACATGTAAATTAACCACAATTATAAGACCCCAATTATCAATGGAGTTTTAAGCAATTTGGTCTCAAATTGCAACAGGTGATGATAAATCTCAAAATTTTGGATGCCACTAAAGTTATGCATATTTATTAATTGGTCAGCCTCTTGACTCATTCTGGAGATAGGGTTGCAACAAAGATGGCAGGCAACGAATGTGGCGGCTTGAATTATCTTTAAATATTGGATGTAAAAGATCAGGGTTTGGGAATGGAAAAGGTGACAAGCAGCAGAGACCGGCAAGCATTGAAGGTGGTGGAGGTCGGTTGGCGGAAGAAATGATTAATATTAGGATTTCAGAATTAGGAAGATAGTAGGCATCAATGAGGATTTAGTGGGAAGAGAGAAGGAATTGGAATCGCGAGTTAAAGAGAGGGAAAGCCCGCTACCAAGTCTCACATAGAATGATTCAGGTCTAAATTTTTAATTTTTTTTTTTTACACATGTCATATTGTTATAGGTCCATATCAACATCAAAAGGAAAGACCTAGGCCTGAGGCATGCTTTTTCCTAATAGAAAAGAACTGTCTTTCTATGTATACTTTCCCCATTTTTTTTGCTACCAGCGGGTTTAACTCAATCGATCGGATTATATAGATATCCTTTCAACACAACATGGGTCATCGACCCACCAAAGTACGAAAATCAAGATCTTTCAAAAAATGGATTCCTATTCGAAGAGTGCAAAATCGCATAAATGAGCTCACACTTACTCGTCAATTTAGGATTCAATTTGAGATTTTTCTTGAGAGGTATGTGTTAAAAAAAATTAAAAAATTAAACATGAATCATTCGGGTCTTTTTGCGGGTCATCCAAAAAAGAAGAGGATTTCTCTCACATGTGTGTGAGACCTGGTAGCGGGCTCTCCCTCTCTTTAACTCACTATTGTTTTTCTCTTCCCACCAAATCCCTATTAATGCACACCATCTCCCCAATTTTAAAATCCTAATATTATTAATTCTCTCTTGTGCCGACCTCCACTGCTTGTCACCTTTTCTATTCCCAAACCATAATCTTTTACATCCAATCTTTAGAGATGATTCAAACCCCCAATAAATAAATGCGCATAACTCTAGTGGCATCCAAAATTTTGATATTTATCCCCACCTGTTGCAATCTGAAGCCAAATTGATCTCCTTACTCTATTGATAACTGGAGTATTATAATTGTAATTAATTTACCATATTTGGGCTAATTATTTAGTTTATTCATATGAAGGGTTTTGAATAGAAAATATCAAACGCATGAGAAAAAAAAAAAAATTCCTTCTGGATGATCCATAAAAAAGTTCAAACAGTTTTTATTAATTATTTTTAAATTTTTTTGACATATATTATATTTTTATTAATCCATGTCAATATTAAAAAAAACATTCTTATTTATGATGCCCAAAACAAGCATTATTCTATAAATATACATATTTCATATTTAGAGAGAGAGGGACTTATAACAGGTGAGTGTTTCGGACCAGACTCCAGAATCTTAAATTATTATGTGAAATCAGCATGTATATGGAATTTCGCATTATTTGTTGATTGGGTTCCGAGAAAGTTGCTGTTGGGAGTGTCGGAAGGTGGTGATTGCGTGTGGTGTAATAATCTTCCAAAGAAAGTGGCTTTGTCTTCTTCTTATGTTACTGTGGGCGGCTATTTATGTTTTTATAATTTTATATAGAGGGTCTAGAATGAGGCTTGGGTTTAGGCTTTAAAAATATAAATGGAGCTTGGGTTTTGGGCTTTCAAATTATAAATGGGGTTTGGGTTTCAGCCCAACATAGAGGGTCCATAATTTGGTTAGGCCTTGGAGAACCAATTTTATTTATTTATTTAAAATTACTAATTTAACACACTCGGTCATCTATTACACGCTGATAATGAAAGATTGGGAGAAATTTTATTCAAACTTTAACATTAAATTGAATTTGTTTAACTTAGGAATTATGGAATATAAATAGTTAACAGGTTATCGGATTGAATGTTAAATACGAATTAGAAGATTGAATTTGAATCAAAATTCAAATTCAAAAGCAAAGTCTATTTAACAATCTCCTCGACTTTAACATTAGAGTATCCCAAACTTTTGGTAACTTCAAAATTTCCCTCGAAAAATTCTAAAATATCCGGAAGTACAACATTGCAACTCACTTCATGTACTTCATTATTCTTTCTTATAACAGTATGTATATATATATGTGTGTGTGTGTTTTTATCTCCAAAATGCGCCACACAATTCAATTAATTCAGGAATTTTGTTTCCAGAATAGATGAGGTTATTCTTTTTAAACACAGTGTGCAACCAAAACAAGAAAGCTTTAGAATGTAACGCACGTACACAATAAATAATGAACTATAAACACGTATTTTCTTACCTACTCTCCAATTACATAATTACATTATAAGGCAGCTTACCTATCCTCTAAAATATATCATTATATACTAATACTTATATAATGATATATATACTACTTTAATATACTATATCATTATATATTAGTATAACTACGCAGTGTCTGTCATTATTAAAAAAAAGTGACGCTTGCATTAACTCCCCCGATTGTGACTGTTGACATTTAAAAAAAAAAAAAAAAAAAAACACTAAACACAATACATTGATCGGGGCAATCTTTTATAGTATACACTAAAATTCAGAGAAAAAGAAAAAGGTAGTGTAATAAAAAAATACAAATGTTACCAGGATTGAATTTGATTTTCCCACCATAAATGTGATTGAGAATACAAGACATGGTGTCAAAGCTATTATAATTTTTTTTTTTCTATTTTTATAAAATATATAATATATAAATAAAATAAGCATATTGTATAATGTAAGATGCAAGGGTCACCGACCAACAATACACGATAATATAAAAACTTCTTTTTGTAATATAATATATGGTAAGTTGATATGTTTAACAACGATATACGCCATTTCACACGTATTTAGACTAAAAAAACATGTAATCAAATAATCAATAGACCAACATTCATTACAAAATTAATAAATACTTTAATATACAATAATCAATACAACTTGTGTACCACACCCATAACATTATCAAATATATTTGTGATATCACTGATATGTAGATTGAAATTACAGATAGATTAATTCAATTAATTAGTATCTTTAATTTGGTTATAAGCAAAAATTACTTGTTTAATATAAAAAAGTACTATAATATTCTGAAAATTACTATGAAAGATAAGTTTCACGCGCTATTATGTAGCGTATTTAGCAATTAACAATCAAAATTTCTCCAAACGATGAAGTCATCGATCTAGATCAGAGCGTGTAATCACGCGCATTTAATAAGAGTTGGTTTACGTATCACTTACATTTCTTTTTCACAGATCAAATCAATTTAAACAACAAACAACGAATCCACGAAACTTATACCAACAACCCAAATCTAACCTGCAAACCCTAACCAAACCGCCTTCTCTTTCTCTGATCTTCGGCTAATCGGTTCATCTGATATATATATATATATAAAGTCAGTATAGAGAGAGAAAGCTCTAGAGTGAGAAACACTTTTGTGGAAGTTCTTTTTGTTCTTGCAACACTCTATCTAGCCCTAGTCTGTGCTGCCAATGTACAACCGGGCCCAACTGAATCTTCAAAGCAAAACTCACAAACATCAAGATCTCTGTATACCTATCTATGATGCACTGTTTTACATCTAATTTTAACTATTTCAAACCCTAACTTATTGTATTCATTCCATGCTCATAAAGCTGTATGAACTACCATGGGAGCTGAGAAGAAATGGCTCTTCACGCTCTTCTCCGCCACATTCGTCTCGTTTTTGCTCTTCCTGTCTTCGATCGCCGGCTTCAGCGCCTCCTCCGCCTTCAGCTCCCAAAAGCCCTTCACATCCACCGTCCACCGCGGCGTCGGTTACCCTCCGGCGTTTGCATACTACATTTCCGGCGGCCATGGTGACGGTGACCGAATCTTCCGGTTGCTGCTCGCAGTGTACCACCCGCGGAACAGGTACTTGTTGCACATCGGAAAGGATGGTTCAGATGAAGAGAGACGCAAATTGGCGGCTTTGATTAAGACGGTACCCGCAATTCGGGCTTTCGGGAATGTGGATGTGGTGGGGAAGCCCGATCCGGTGACCTACATGGGGTCAACTCACATTGCAGCTGTATTGCGTGCAGCGTCTATATTATTGAAGGTTGATGAGGCTTGGGATTGGTTCATCACTCTAAGTGCTTTGGATTATCCATTGCTCACCCAAGATGGTATGCCATTTCTCAAATTGAAATTCTTAAAAAATTTAACTTTATGATTCTTTCGGATATGGTTTGATTGGTATTGATATTCTAATTTTATACTTATATAAAGGCATGTGCCTTTTGATTTGCTGGAAGTATTCCTTTTCAACTGGTTAGTTGGGAGTATAAAGATTAGAATAATAATTTTACGGGCATAATTGTGAGACTTCGTTTTTTGTATTTGCTTCACAATTATGCAGTCTGTTCTTGCTGAATGCCAAGTTTGGAGAAGTGGTGAAAGATATTCTTTTTTCCCTGGTGGAATGTGCATTGATTGCTAAAATTTAAATGAGGAACCTTTTTTTTTTTTTAATAATCTTTAGTTCCAAGCGAACATGAAAACAAAAACAGGTTGAAAGTTTGTTTGGTTGTTAGTTTTCTTGAAATTGATTTTTGAAAATTGAGTTAAATAGTGTCTAATTTTAAAGAACGATCTTATGTGGTTTTTTGAAAACACTCCAAGAAGGCAAAGCAGGCTATTTTCCATTAGATTCCAACTCTATGACCCGGCCAAGTGGCATCATCTCACCCAGAGAACAGGGTATAACCCTTCTAACCCAAAACAGAGCCAGCATCCACATAAGCAAAGTGATAAGTCATCTTTTAGTTCACATCCATACTCATCATGGATAAATTCCATACTCATACTATTAAACCTTTTTCGACTTGATACGTCTGCATTTGTTGATTAACATCTTTCCAACTGTGTTGGCCATTTTTTTCTAGTAAAGGGATAAGATAGACAAAATGTAAGACTTCCAATGCTTTAACTGCAGACACAAGTCTAACAAAAAGGGGCTACTTTAACATTCTGATCATGTTGATGTTCGAGCTTGTACTGAGACTGTGAAATCTTAGTTCGAGGTTTGCCACATATGGGAAATTCTTTATGTTGGGTCACAAATAAGTTTTACTTTTTGAGATTCTTATGTCGGGTGTTTGGTGAAACGAGGATCTAGTTTTGTTTAGCCTATTTGTTAATATCCTGCATACATGAATTATGCATCCTTTGGTTCTTTCCAGTGACAATTTTATTTTTATTTTTATTTTTTTAAAATAAAAAGGAGGATGGTTTAAGAAAATCTAATTTAGCAATTCACGTGTTGTGCATCACTTGACCTCATTATGGTAGTCCAAATTCGCTATTTTCAATTTTTAAAAAATGAAAAATGATTGTCATTGTCAGCAAATATTTAGCTTTAATCAAATTTCATGCAATTTTGTACTTTATGTATCAATGTGTTGTCATTGTCATGGCTCCAGATACAAGTTTATTTAATGCACCACCAGGCCATTGGCCTAGGTGGTATAACCCCCCAAGTGGCGCAAAATTTTGTGGTTGTATATGTGTGAGAGAGTTGGTTATAGTGTGGAAGCAGAGGATTAGGAGACTTTCTGAAGGGGTACAGCTTCTAAGGGTTTAAGGTTACAAACTCACAATGTGTAACCATTCTTTTTTTGGAGATTTTAGGTGACTTGCATTTTTGGTTTTTCCTGTGTGTGTGTGTGTGTATACTACTAATACAAATGGATCTGTGTTTTTGGTGTTTTTAACGACACTTTAATTTACCAATCAGAAAAACAAGTGTTGAAGCCTTATAGATACAGTGTTATAAAATCTTGGTTTCAGATTCAAATTGGTCTGGGTTGAAACTGAATTATTATACTGTAGTAATTTTTGGAATAATAGAACATTTTTGCAGATGTGATCGAAATTAGTTGTGAAACGAGATGGAGAAATAAATCCATCAGAGCTAATTAGAGCGCAAATCAGAGCATAGAAAGCTGCAAAACTAGAAGTTATCAAGTGAGGCAAAGGTTTTTATGACACCAAAGGTGTCTGATTTTCAGTCACTGGTGTGATAGTAAGCAGCAACAACAATAAATATTCGTATTGAAAATCAAACAATGATTGCAAACATATTATGTTCTAGGTGCGATGCAAATGTTTTGACATGTGTTGTGAGATATTTGTATTCTCTGGCCCTCAGGATATTTTGTAACCAATTTCAGTAAGTGGAAGTCTTGCAGTGATTTGTGATTGAGGGATCTAGCCACATCGTCGTCCCATTCTCTCTAAACCACACAAAACTGTAATTAGTGTGTACTTCCCAATCTGACCCATTGTAGTGGGTTCTAATAGTTCCATAAAGCATTTGATGCCAGCACTGCTGCACCTTTGATGGCACATTTCATTTTGGAAGGAATGGTTTAGGCACACCTTTGAAGCAGTGGAGTTATTGCCTTTCAAGCTATATCATTAGTTGCTGAGCTCCCTCTTTTTGTGGCTTGTTATTGAGTGTAGTAGTTAATTCTTAAACTATATTAATTCTTTTGTTGATCTTTTCAGAGAGATGTGAGCTTATGGATTGGTGTATAGTTTGGTTATTTCTTCTCCTTTTCTCTCTTGTGCACTTCTGTTAACTCGGGTTGTGCTTCCTTGGCCCCCGAAAGTGTGTTCAATGGTAGTTGTGCAGCATAGGGCTTAGACAGTAAGAGTTGAGAACTGAAGCATGATCTATTCTAAACTTAATCAATTGTCAGTAATGGATTTGATTCCCATTACCTCCATAAAAGTATACTCCTGTATATGTAGTTAGTGACTTTCTCTACCACTGTGATGTTTGGGATCCTCTGTTTTGAGCAATCAAGCGATAAGCCTAGACTGACTTCTACAATGGTGTAAACACTACTTCTGTTATTATATGCTGATGGTACCTTTTGTTACCTTTTGCAGACTTCATAATATATTTTCTAAATGAAAAATCTTTTCTGAATTTTATATTATCAAGTCCACCATCTTGATGTCCAAGCCTTTAGCACATGCCTGGAGTTTAGGCATCGCCAGACTGACATCTTGAGAAACACTTACCTGGATCCCGTTGCAATTGCAGGGATTTCCTTAACAATGATTTTAGATATATTGGTTTAGGAAGATTATTTTCTCATGTCCTTTTAAAGGTCAGATTGTAGTCATGTTGATATTAGTAAATTTTGAATATTTGTGGTTAATGTATTCTTTTCAAGGCCTACAAATCTTCCATGGGTGCTTATATATACCATCCAACATTTACCTTGAAATCTTCATGATAAGGTGCCACTTTTGTTGCTCTAGTCCTGTTACTGAATTTTAATTGCTTTTGATCTATTTCTGTTGCATTTTGCTAATATATCTTCTTCAGTGTTTTGATGTTATGAGATTTCCCATTTGCCTAATGACCATTGCTTTTCATAATAATCCTTCGGAATCTTTTAAGTAATCATGGATATGTCATTTGTATTCTATTGATGTTATGTTTAACTATACTAATTAATGTTTGCTTTTCTATACTTTCAGATTTGTCCCATGTGTTCTCCTCTTTTAGTAGAGACATCAATTTCATTGATCACACCAGTGACCTTGGATGGAAAGAGTACGCGAACTCTTATTTCTAACTTATAGACATAGTTCTGTAGTTATGAGTCCAAGCATATCTGAACAATGTGGTTTATACGTCTTTTCAGGAATCAAAGGGTCCAGCCAATTGTAGTTGATCCAGGGCTTTACTTGGCTAGGAGAACCCAGATCTTTCATGCTACAGAAAAGAGGCCAGTGCCTGATGCTTTTAAAGTTTTCACAGGCAAGAGTTCTTATCTATATCCTATTGATTGCAAGTTGAAGTTACACTGATTCGTGTATTTTAACAAAAGTAAAGCACTCGTGAGAAAGCTTGATTGAAAGAGAACCATATTGTTTTTCAGGTTCTCCATGGGTCATGTTGAGCCGATCGTTTCTAGAATTTTGTGTTCTTGGTTGGGATAACCTCCCCAGAACCCTTCTAATGTACTCTAGTAATGTAATTTTGTCTCAAGAAGTTTATTTCCATTCTGTCATTTGCAATTCACCCGAGTTCAAGAACACAACAGTCAACAGTGATCTGAGATATATGATCTGGGACAATCCTCCCAAGATGGAGCCCCTCTTCCTCAACACATCAGATTATAACCAGATGGTTCAAAGTGGAGCTGTTTTTGCCAGACAATTTCAAAAAGATGATCCAGTGTTGAAGGTGGTTGATGAAAAGATTCTCAAGCGTGGTCAAAATCGAGTTGTCCCAGGGGCATGGTGCACTGGCCGGAAGAGCTGGTGGATGGATCCATGCCTGCAATGGGGTGATGTCAATGTTTTGAAGGCAGGGCCTCAGGCAAAGAAGTTAGAGGAATCCATGACAAACCTTCTTGATGACTTGAATTCACAATCAAAACAGTGCAAATAAATCATAGGAATTGAAGGAAGTTTGTCTAGAAATGTTCACAATTTGTTTGCACCCGAATCATTGGCCAATCGGAGGATTTAACTACTTTTGGTTGCAATACATCCATTGGCCATTACAGCTATTTTTTGTCAGGTTTCTGGTCGCAGGCGTCTTAGTTTCATGGTGGGGGTAGAATTGGAGGGGCAAGGTGAATTCATTTCGGGTTTGTTGGCTGGATGGTGGCTCGGATGCTGGTATTTGTTGTCGTAGTAGAGAGCCACCGCCAAGCAGTCTTCACACAATAAGAGGAGTCTCCCTCTCCTCTTTGTACTTCCATCACAATGTTGTATGTTATACCTCTCTTGGCTTTCCACTCTGGACTCTTCATGTTGAGTCATGACTTCATTCTTTAAACTTGTACTCTATTCTGTTCGCATTCTATCTGTTGGATGCATTAGCAAGCCCATAATACATAGCTGGCTCTGTCGAGGATCAAGAAGTGATGCAAGGAATTACAGTAAAATTATCATAGAGAAATGTACCGTTTACCCAGATACACATGCATATTCATGAATGTAACTTAAAAGGAGTAGAGATTGGAGACTTCAAAGGTCAGTGTATTAAATAGATTCAAACCTAGTTTTGTTGGCAAGTGAACACTTACTAGTATAAAAAGGGTAGATACCTTAGAAAGTTTGAAGCAGCATGAGGAGAAATTGAACTACTCTTTTGTTGGCACCATAATTAGTTGCAAAATGTGGTTCACAGTTCTCAAAATAGTAGTTACAGCGGTGATAGCCGTAGAGGCGGTTCAGGAGGTAGTGCACCTAGTTGGTGTGCTTGCTGCAATGGTCTGATTAAGCTGAAGAAAGCAGAGGTTGAGGATGCCATATAAATATATATATATATATAGATGATATGTTACGAACTTGTGATATGGTGTGAATCCTTAATTGGATGTACCGTGTGCTCTCCTTCTAGTCGTTTCTTTTGTATCAATGTCTTGTTATCATTTTCTATTAGTGATACTCACTGACGGGGAATTGCTTAATCGAATGATTTTTTATTGAATATTTATACTAAACACAAGTAAGTAGAGGACCTCACTTTCTTATTTGTTGCATAAATAACTTATTAAAAATAATAAATCTAACAATGCACTGCAATTATTATTCTGTGCAAAAAAAATTAATTTACTAGACTCATGTTCATATATGATAAAACATTCCACAATTTCCAGAAAATAGATTCTGAGTTGTCCGGTATTAATTTTAATATAGAAATGGATGAAATAAAAGTGAAATAAGAAGCAAATTAGAGAACAAAATTGTTAGCAATATATAACCATATCAATGAAAGGCAAAACTCAATAGATTCACTTCCATTTTATTTTCAATTGATGCAATATCAAGCATTTAAAAGCTAATAAATACGATCGGGCTTGGTTTCAGCATGTATTAGCTATTTGTGCTTGGGTCTAACTTTTAGTTGGGCCTTTTGTTTGTAGATTCGTCCTTCTCAATTTCTATTTTATACAAGAATTCAAAAAATAAATGTGATAAAACCTGAAACAATTGCATCACCTATTAAAGCAACTAAAAGTGGAAAAAAAAAAAAAAAAAAAAAAAAAACTAAGCAACTAAAAGAATTATTGAAATGAGTTCAAATGGAAGAAAAAAATATGTTGATAAATGAATCTCAATTTGTTGACTATTATTTATCAAATCTTGTTCTTTACCCTGATTTGATCTTGTTGTCCAAATAATCCCGTATTATGATGTATCTAGAATAATAGTAATTACTGAAACAAAAATACTTGTACAAACCATCGAACCCATGTAAGCCCAAGGCATAAACAAAATAACAATAGGAAACTATGTCCCTCATCATGAAATAGCTACGCACATAGTGACCACATCACAAATCCTGGAATAAATATACATCATGTGTGAAACTACAATGCAGTTTAATGCATCAATGCATGTACCATGTTGCCTTTAGTTAAGTACTTCGATTCGATGTGTTGTTGTCTGGAAGTTCTTTTGGTGATGGTCATTGGAGTAACCGCATCCCTCAACTACTGGTAAAATAAATGTCTTTTAACTAATCATTCAAGCTCATTAGCTTAAACTTTATCAATCTTTCTCTATGTGTGTCCAAGTATATTTATGGATACATCTTACCAATATGAGTTCTTACCACAGCAAAGGACTGCTAGGATTTCCTATCGAGACGCTTCTTGATCATGGGTTGTTAGAAAGGATTGTATTTGACTTAAAGAGGATAATTTGGTATTTGGAAATAGGAGTTTGAAGGGCAATTTCGACATCAATAATAATTTTTGATGAATATGTAATTATTTTACTTAATTCAATCAAAGTCAAATGTAAAATTTTAAAATAGATTATTTTATTATTTAAGATTGTTAAATCAATGTAAGTGTAATTTTTCTTATTTTTAAATCTCTCTCTCTCCAGTCTATTTTCGTTAAGCGAAACCAACCTTAAAAACCCAACCGAGATATAGAAATACAGTATGTATTATACACACACGCATACTTACATATTCATTATATTTTTATTAATTAAAAAAGAAGCTTATACAAATGCATGTGTGACTTGAAAGGCTATGTTTGTTTTGACTCGTAAAATATATTTTTATTTTTGGTGTTAGGTAAAAGTTTAGGTCGAAATTGAGGTCGAATGTATCGGGTAAAGCCAAAGGCTGATCTAGGATTTCTGAATGGGGTGAGCTAATTTTGGGGTAGGCTAATATTACTATTTTTTTTGGGGGCCTGGGCTACTAATATTACTATTTTTTTTTTTTGGGCTGGGTTAAAAGTAGTATAGTAATTTTTATTTTATTTTATTTTTTTATTTTATTTATTTATTTATTTATTTTTTTGTGGGCTGAAGCCCACCACAGCCTATCCCTCTTGTCCTTGGGTGGGGCGTCTAAAATTGATGGGTAAATTATTTTTGTTAGATTTTAATTTTTTTTTTTCTTAAATATTTATGATAAAAAATAGAATGGAATTTATGCAAATAAGAGAAACAATAATAATTGACGCAAATACAAAGACGCTGGTAATTGCCTCTGCTTCAATTTTTTTTTTTTTTTGGGGCCTGGTATAGTAGCTTGTTGCCAGCCCTCAACATGTTTGGTAACTTCGGCCATTCTTCCAACATTGTAGAAACATTTCAGTAATACGGCCCAATTGTGGAGAAATGGAGTGTTAAATGTGGGAGCACGAGAGCGGCAAAATTTAAATTTAGGTAAGAGCGGGAGTACCGCGAGAGCGTCTATATATTATATATTTTTATGTTTATATATTTATTTGATGTGAAATATGATTAAATTAAATTAATAAATATTATATATGTTTATGTTTATGTATTTATTTTATGTGAGATATGATTGTAATAATTTAATAAATATTTTTTAGTTGCTACTGTATTTGAAGTATATTATTGTATATATATAAAATATATATAAGTTTTTAAGAAAGTTAGGTAATTTTATAGATAGATTGGATAAATGTATATTGGGTCATTGGGAGAATACATTTAGAACAAAACAAGGCCAACAATAAAGGCCTAAAAACAAGAGGCCCAAGAAAACATCATCTAAATATATATGCGTATACAACCAAACAAGCCACTCAACCTCAACACAGAGGCTAGGGCACAATTCCTAAGGAGCAATGCTTGGATCCTGTCCTATCAGTATAAGTTTTGTCCTCTATCCTATATCCTAACGTGTTCCTATGAAAACTTGACACCAGTTTCAATATTATATGATATTAAAAAAGAAAAGCATTTGGATTAACCCGTTACAAATGGGTTTTTTTGCTAAAGATTTGGTCCAAACTCCGTGGCTCCGGGATCTCGCCACCTATATCCCTACAATCATTGGTTGTAGAGGGCAGTGAAGGTGGGGTGTTGCTGAGATCGAGGTTGGAGACAAGGGTGTACCAGACAAGGATGGAGGCCGGTGAGAGCTTGCTGGTGGAGGGCTCGGCCGTGATGGAGCCGGTCGGCGGTGAGCTTGCCAGTGGAGAGCTCGGCTTTGGATGATGGCGTCCGCGATGGGCGCGGTTGACTGACAGTGGTGGTGACGGGCTGACTTTAGACGGTGGCGAGGACGGCTCGGCAGAGGAGAGCTCGGCCGTGAATAATCTGACTGGCGATGGCAGATCGGCGAGGATGAAGATGGTAGTGGGCTTGCGGCGGTGCTTGGCGTGATTGAATGGCAGTAGGTTTTCGGCGCGGTGCCGGCAGGCAAGGAGAAGTTCGGCTGTGGATGAACTGCGGTTGACTTGCGGCAAGGTAGGCTGAACTCAGCCGGTGGAATGGAGGATTTGGAACGATGACCGGCGAAGATGAATGGGCTAGTTCGACGAAGATGAAAGGACTGAAGGAGAGAATTTTCGAAAAAATAAAAAAATAAAGGACTGAAGGAGAGAGAGAGAATGGGAATGGGTTTCTTTAATGTATTCTTCCCGTAACCCAAATTTGATTCAGTATGATTCATTTCTTTTTTTGGACAAGTATCAAGTTTTTGTAGGGCCAGGTCAGGGCGGGGGACAAAACTTGTCCACTTGAATCACAACGGCTAGTTTCCACTTGTTTTGATAACTGTAGCGGACTAAATGTTTTGGGCAATCGCCTCCATCTCTATTTTTTTTCAGTCTTTTTGCCCTAGGTCTGAGCCTCACCCCACCTCACCTCCCCAGTCGCCTCCAATCTCCATCTCTATTCTCTCGACTCTGAACTTCAGAACTTACCCTCTTTCTCTCTGCATCTGTAAAGTACAAAATCTACAAGAATCAGAAGTTCAAAACCCATATATTTCAGATCTGTCTGCAAGAATCAAAAGTTCAAAACCCATATCGGCATATCATTTCAGATTGTTCAAAAAATCAAAACCCATATCTTTCAGTTTCCATCGCCTGCTGTTCAGTTCAGGTTCGCAAGCTTCAGCCGTCTCTCAACTCTCAAGCTTGCCCCCCTCTCTCTCTGCAACTGCTAAACTTGCCCTCTCTCTCTCTCTCTCTCTCTCTGCAAGTGTAAACTACAAAATCTACAAGAATCAGAAGTTCAAAACCTATATATTTCAGATCTACTGCAAGAATCAAAAGTTCAAAACCCATATCGGCATATCATTTCAAATTTTTCAAAAAATCAAAACCCATATCTTTCAGTTTCCATCGCCCGCTGTCCCAGTTTGTGTTCACAAGCTTCAGCCGATGTCTCTCAACTCATGACTAACGGTTCTCATGGAACCAAACCGGAACGGTTCCAGTTCGTTTCTAATCTATACGGTTCCGGAACTGTTTTTTAGAACGGTTCCGGTTCCGACCGTAACCGTAAAGAACTGAACCGTGTGCACCCCTAGATTTGAGAGAGAACTCTATGGCCGACTGAATAAAACGCTAGGTCTGACATCGTTGTTTCCTCCGACGGCCTCTAACGCAGCAGCTGATACTCCGGTATGTCTTCTTCTTTTGTTTTTTGCTTTCATTTTTATGTTTAGGTCTATAGAACTCTATAAGATGGAATCTCATGTCCTTTTCTCTCGATTTCTTTTCTCTCGATTTTTTAATTTTATTTATGTTAATTTGAACTCAAATCAACACTAGTATAACTATTTTATTCAGATCTAGGTCTGAGAAAAGTAGATCGGCATGCATTATATATATAAGTTGTAATTTGTGAATTTTTTTTTTGCCCTTGAATTTTGACTTCCCGGATTTCATTGTGGCCTTCTCTTCTTTTTTTTGGTGGTTATTCCTTTTCTCTACATAGAATTCTTGCTTGTCCAGTAGGAGAGCATTAATAAAGAAACAACAGGAGCTTTGTTTATCTTCATCCATGTTTCGTAGCTGTTGGATCTTAAAATCTTCTCCCTATCCTTTGTTTTTCTCTCTCTTTTGACTTATTTTTATCATTTTAGAGTTATGGTTACGTGAAACCAGTGTAGTGTGATTTCTGTGTGATTGGACATTAATTGGTTTTCTTCGGAGATTGAACTAATAATACAAATAAAATTTTCTATATTTATGATCTACATTATAGCACAAGTCGACTCCTTTTTATTAATCGTTTGAAGCTTTGCAAAATTGTATGATATGGAGCTGGTAGATGAGCCAGTAGATCAATTAGCTGTTTTGATACATGAGCTGAAGCACGATGACATTCAAGTGCGTTTGAATTCGATTCGAACAATGTATAGAATTGCGAATGCTCTTGGGGTGGAGCGAACATAGAAGGAATTCATCCCATTTCTCATTAAATACAATGACAATGATGAAGTGCGACTTGCAATGGCTGAAGAGCTAGGTAGGTTTATTCTGTATGTTGGAGGAGTGGAACGTGCCCATGTTTTACTCCACCTCTGGAAACCCTTTGCACTGTTGAGGAAACTCGTGTGACGGGCAACGCAGTTGAGTCATTTTGTAGAATTGGATCTTAGAGTGATCTGGTGGATTGTTTTATTCCTTTGGTGAAGGTTAGACGGTTACATTCCTATTTTATAAGTTTTTTATTTTTTGTTTCAGTTGTGTTATTCATATTCAAGTAGCATATCTGCAACAATTTTAATTGTCAAACTCAAACGTGGCACCTGAATTTGTTGCCCACTTCTACATGGTAGAATTCTTTCTAAACTACATTATCCTCACTATAAGGTTAGATTGTCTTTGTTTAGGTTTGAAATTTGGTTAGAAGCAGTGGATAGTAGATTTTTTGTTACTTAACAAGCATGTTTCTCCTAGTTTTATTTTACTTCTAAACAAGGTAGTTGCTCATGTTTGTAAATATTTTATTTCATCCTTTGTAATAAGCTCTTGTCGTTTATCTCTGATGTTATCACTGTTGATTGTTTTTAACTTCCCTTGCAATTTTTAATTTACCTCCTACAGAGACTGGCATCTGGTGAACGGTTCGCTGCACGAGTTTTTGCATGCGGACTGTTTCATATTGCTTATTGTAGTGCCTCGGAGATGTTAAAGACCTAATTACGGTCAATGTACAGCCAGTTGTGACAGTTGTGTCAAGATGACGTGTCTATAGTGAGGAGGTCTGCTGCATCAGACTTGGGGAAGTTCGCTGCAACCGTTGAACCTGCTCATCGGAAGACTGACATCATGTCTATATTTGATGACCTTACACAAGATGGTAAATGAATTTCTATGTATTGTTTTTCATAACTCCTGATTTTCCAATTCATGGTCAGATGTATATTAGTGTATTGCTCTATGATTATCTGTTAACAGTATGCTTTTGTAATGAGCACTTCTAATAAGGATCTCTAGTAGCATAGTGTCCACCCAGTGAATAGATTCATTGTTAGCGAATTGACAATAATCTAGATCAAGATAAAAACATAAAGGCTAAAGTTAGAGGTGCACACAGTTCGGTTTGGACCGGTTTAAGAGTTTTTTGGAACTAAATCGAACCATTTGACCAAATGAACCAAACCAAACCAAATAGTGAAAAACCAGTTTGGTTTGGTTTGGTTCCACGGTTCCTGTTTTTTTCTTTCTTGTTCCATAAGTGTTCATATTTCAAAATTCACATGCACAATTATAAACTAAGTTATCAACACATTTAGAACTATTATTATATTCACAACTTTTAATTCATTCTTCGTTATCACTTCTGGAACTAAAGTGAATAAATTTAGAATTGCTAATAACCTAATACATTTAGAATTACTAATTCAACAACAAACAATCAGCCACAATTCAAAATTCAACCACTATAAAAAAAAAAGAATCATCTAATAAATTGATAAAACCTAAGAGAATTAAAAGTGGACCATAGGATTGATAGTTGCTACAAACTTCCATGTGCTTTGGATTGTAGGATTATATTATATTATATATACGGTATAATTTAACATATATATATATATAAAACATAACGGTTCGGTTCGGTCTAATTCGGTCCTAAAGGACCTCAAACTGTTACAAAACTGTATCTTTATGGTTTCACAAATTTAGAACCGTGACCGAACCTAACCATTAGCAAACCAAACCAAACTGTCCGGTCCGATTTGGATTTTCGGTTTGACCGAATTTTTGTGCACCCCTAGCTAAAGTTTGCTATTAATAATAAATAACCAGAAGGAACTTTATCCTTATAGCGTAAAACTTCGATAACATTATGAGAATGGAGGATTTAGAAGGGTTCAACAGAAAATAGAGTGATTTAAAGTTGATAGAAAATGAGTGGCATTTCTTGAAAAAAAGCGCCATAATTAATAACTTCGACTTTGTTTCAATGTAAGTTCTTAGAAAATAAAGTGATCAAAGGTCTTTGGAAAAATTGGATGGTAGTTCTAAGCAAAATAGTCACTAATAAGTATAAAATTGCTTCCAGGTCATACTCTGATATCCTTTAGAAACTAGTAGAGATTAGACAATAGCTTAAACATATGGTAATTTAGGGTGTGTTTAGTAACCCAAAACATTTTTTGTTTTTTGTTGTCAATCCTTAAAAAGGAGAAATAAACACAAAAATCATGTTTAGTAATTTGTTTTTGTTTCTTCTTAATGAAAAACATTTTTCATTTTTATGAAAGAAAGAGAAAACATCAAAATGATGTTTCCTGTGTTTTTTCACTGTAGCAGAGGAAACGTTTTCACCACTGTTTCCCTCGTTTTTTATGCAACTGATATTACTCTTCCATTAATACACAACCAGACATTACTCCATTAGTACTTTTATATTATATATATATATATTATACAAAATCTATTTTTATATTCTACATATATACGTCATACAACTGTACGCCTTGTATTTTTTTTTTTTTCTTTTTCTGATTGTTATACATGTATTGGTTGTGGTTTGTTTTTAGATTTTTTGTTAATATATATGTATATATAAAATCTATTTTTATATTCTATATATATACATTATATAATTGAATGCTTATCTTGCCATGTATATATATATATATTTTCCTTTTTAGATTATATCTTTTATTGTGATTGAAAGTTAGATTTTGATAGATGGATGAAAAAATAAATTAAAAAAATTTCTAAAAAAAAAAAAAAATTTTGTAACAAATGTTTTACTAAACACTGCTTTTTGTTTTTTGTTATTAAAATTGTGGCAACAGCAAAAGTTACTAAACGTTATTTTTGCTTTCTGTTTTTACATCAAAAAACAAAATTATGTTTCTGTTTCTTTGCGACTGCAAAAACAGAAAACGAAAACGTTACTAAACGCACCCTTAGGCTGCGTTTAGTAATGAGAAACGTTTTAGCTCCTAAAAAGACAAAACAAAAACAAAAATTATGTTTAATAATATGTTTTTGTTTTTTTATGATAGAAAACATTTTTTATTTTTGTGAAGAAAGGAGGAAACATAAAAAAAGGTGTTTCTCATTGTTGAGCAAAAACGTTTTCACTACTATTATTACATATACAATGTTCATTTCAAATAGAATGTATATTATTCATGTTATATACTAATGCTACATATTAAGTAATAATAAAAGTTACTATATTTTTAATATATAATTATATTATATATTAGTGTAAATTATTTTTTATTTAACAAAAATATATATTTAAAATATAATATATTATATAATAGTGTACTTATAAAAAAAAAAAAAAATTATATAATAGTGGAAATTATTTTTTGGGGCAAAAAAATTTATGATTTATTATATATTTATTATTTATTTTATATAATATTATTAAATTATTATGCAACAAATATAATACATTACTCCCTCCGTCTCAAATTAAGTGTTGTCTTTGGGAACTGTGACTCACGGAGGGAGTATTATATACCATATCTATATTTATTATAGACATATTATTTAACATTTTTTATTTATTATAATATACTATATGTTAAATATATTGTATATATTATATAATAAATGTGTAGATGATGCATGTGCATGCACTTATATACATAATTGGTGAGAGTGTTTTTGTCCTAATATCTCTTGTTTTGTACATATGTATTATGTATTATTAAGATTTGTGATTTTAAATTGGATATTATATTTTATTATCCATTTTTAATATTTGTGATATAATTGAATTACATACATATTTAAGGCGTTTTGGTACTAATGAAAAATATTAAAAATAAAATAAAATAATTAAAAAATGTTATGTACATCTCTAACAAATATGTATTATTAAACACTGTTATTATTTTTTGCTTTCAAAATTGTGACAGCAAGTGTTAATAAACGTTCATTTTTGTTTTTTTTTTTTATTTTCACTCAAGAAAATAATTTTTTTTTTTTTTTTTGGATAAGTCACTCAAGAAAATAAAATTATATTTCTGCTTTCTTGAAACTACAAAAACAGAAAACAAAAACGTTACTAAACACACCCTTAATAACTGTGTTTTCGTTACATAAGTGACTAAAATAAAAAGGATCTACCACTGGGACGGACTCTTGACTTTCAACTAATTGGAATATATCTTCGGTGCAGAACATTTAGTAATACGGATGTTACTGTACAGATATGTTTCTGACCAATAATCATTCTAGTTTCTTCATAAAGGGAATTCAATATGTTTTAAGATGATGGCATTGGCTCACTCGTGTTGGTTTTCCATAATTTTTAGAAGTTCTTTTTTTCTTTTTCTTTTCATTCTTTACTTTTTCTTGGATAGATTGCTTTTCCAATTTTCATTACATGCATTTTATATGCTAAATACGGGGTTCTGGTGTCCATTTTAGATCTCTGTTCGCTTACTAGCTGTTGAGGGCTGTGCTGTTCTTGGAAATTTGTTGGAGCCCTAGGATTGTGTTGCACATATTCTTCCCGTCATTGTCAACTTTAACCAGGTGTGCTACGGATCAATTATATCTTCTCAAGTTTTATATCTATTACTTTTGTTTTATGTTACTCTACCTTCATTTAGTTCTTTAAATCCGGTAACTCATTCTCACAAGTTACTCTCTAGATGAATTATATATTTGTCGTATTTCTATTAGAAATTATTTCATACTTTCACAAGCAAGTTTTTTTATACCTTCTTCATGGTGTACTGTGAATTGGCGGCTTGTGGTGTATGATATTTGTTTTTTCTTTTTCTTGTTTTGATAAGTTTGATGTGTAGTAACTGATTATGTGCGGATTCATTCATTTGCAACTTTGCATGCTTTTTGTGTTACCATCTTAACACTTAATTGATGGTTTGCTGTATACTCTCAGTCTCTCTCCCAACTATGGTGAAATTAGGCATGTGTTGTTTATCTTTTCCCTAATCTAATTCAGAATTGTTGGAACCATTTTGGAATAAAGAAACTTCCTTGGTGCGGTTGTTTAAAATGCAAAGTGAGGAAATAAATGATACTAGTTTTTGTAGGATTCGTGGTTGTTTTAGAAGATTCAATCATTTGCATGAAAACAAATCGATATATAGAAAGGAGGGATGATGTCATTCAGATTTAAGGTGCTTCAAGGAAATAAATTAAGCCAAAAAGAAGATGAGTTATGACAGTCCGTAAGCCATGAATGAAGATCCCTAAATAGAGCAATGCTTAAAAGGGTTTGTTCAAAGTTAAATGGTATGTTTGTTTTCTTTGAATGTTTTATGGCTGGAATTTCAAAATTTACCAAATCACCATGAGTTTTGACAAATCTTCTCATGGTCAAAGTAAACCCTATGGTTAGTAAATATTTACATTTTTGATAATTTTCCGCCATTTTAAGTTACTAATACTGCCCAAGGGTACTATATTAACATAATTATTATTTAACTTTTGCTTTTCATTTAGCTTTGTTAATCTCACTTCTAATAAATTGGAAGGAACTTAACTTTTTTGTTGTAGGCCTTGAACATAGTGTTAGTAATTGTTATGTAAGGTGTGCTAAGTTACTTATAAAAAAAGAAAGAAAAGAAATGTAAGGTGTGCAAAGTTGGAATTATCAATTTCTACAAGTTTCTACACAAGAACTGGGTTTTGGAATCATTTGTGGTACATTGGACTTGGACCAGTGGACCAGTTGGGGACCCTTACGATTTGGGTTGGCAATTCATGTTGGCGTGTCGTGTTCATGTTGTGTCGAGACATGGGTATATATCAGCGTCTCAGCTCTCTTTCTCTAACACAGCAAATTCCTCTTCCCTTACCTGCATCAGCTCTCCCTTACACACACAAGGCAAATTCTTCTCCCCTTACCTGCCTCAGCTCTCTTTCTCACACACACAGCAAACACTCTTTGTGTTTTGTAGACTGGTTTTTCAATCTATTCCTTGATTGATTTTCGTGTTTGCTCTCCCTTTCTCTTTCGGCCCTAATCACCCATTCTTGTCATGCTTTTGTCCAAGTATTCTATTAGATGCAAATCTTTTTTTCCCCCTTTCTATTTCAGCCCTAATCATGTAACTTTTTTCCAATCTATCAGAGACTAATAGTTTTCAGTTACAAAACATACATATATAAGCAATCTAATGTTTTCAATTGCAATTATTCGTGTTAAAGACCTTTGACAAGAACACGACACAAATATGAACCGTGTACACGACACGATTAACCTGTTTAATAAACTGGTCAAAACTCAGACAGGACATGACACGAATAAGACACGACACAAAATTCCTTATTAGGGTTGCACTAACTCAATAACCCATTTACGACCTGCTATTAAATTTTTTTTTCCAAGGTAAATATAAAATAAATTTTAAATTCTTGAAAGAGGCACAATCCTCTAACTACTATTGGTTGAAAAAAATAATACTTGACATCCATGGCATAAAACTGAAACATAGTAAACTAGAAAAATATTCCCAGCAATCCACAATAACAGAAATTACAAGTCCTTCACTAAAAAAATTACAAATATACCAACAGGACTGTGGCTTAGCGGTATAAGGCTCCTACTTCCCAAAGGGAGGTCAGGGGTTCGAACCTCAGTGGAGACAGTGTGTGTGAGTTTCCCAACTAGGGGAAAAAAAAAAAAATTACAAATACAGTCCCATAATAAAATAAACTAAAACAACTTAAATTCACAAAATCAAGTGAATTGGAATGGAGAAAGCCATTGATCATGTGAATTGTTCCAGGGGTTCTGTGTAAGCTGGATGTGGAGAAATCCTATGATTATGTGAATTGGAATTTTTTTGTTATATATGTTGGAGAGGTTTTTTTAGCAGCTCACGAGGTTTGCGTCAATTCTTGTTCATTATTGTAATGGAGGCTTTTAGCAGGCTGATGGGGAGGGTTGTGGAGTTGGGCTTCATCAGGGGATTCAGGGTGGGCAGGGATGATGTTCATGGTTTGGAGATCTCTCACTTGCTGTTTGCGGATGATACTTTGGTCTTTTGTGAGGCTGAAGTGTCCCAGTTGAGATTTTTGAGGTCTTTGTTGATTTGCTTTCAGGCAGTATCGGGTTTGAAAGTAAATGTGGGGAAGATTGCTTTAATTACAGTGGGGGAGGTTCTTGAGATTGACGGGTTAGCTATGGTGCTTGGATGAGTCAGCTCTTTTCCGATTTCTTATCTGGGTATGCCTTTGGGGACCCCTCGAGGACTGTGGGTGCCTGGGATCCTGTGGTTGAGAGGAGGCTTGTAGGGTGGAAGGAGTATCTTTCGAAAGGTGGGAAGGTCATCTTGTGAAAAGTACGTTTTCGAGTATCCCTACCTATTTTCTCTCGCTTTTCCAAATTCCCTCCTCAGTAGCTGCTACGATTGAGAGAATAGCTTCTCAAAACAGCCCCTATTCCTGCATGCGATGCATCACACTCAATAGTGAATAGCTTCTCAAAATCTTGTAGTGTGAATACCGGCGCTTTTTTGATCAATATTTTTATTTGTTCAAAGGCTTTTTGTGCTGATTTTGATCACTAAAAAACATTTGCTTTCAAGCATTCAGTGATCGGACTCGTAATGGAGCTGAAGTTGCGAATGAACCTTCTGTAAAATGAAACCAATCCATGGAAATTGCAAACGTCACCCATAGATTTTGGTAGTGGCCACTCCTGAATAGCTCTTACTTTCTCATGATCAACTTGCAAACCATTGGCTGAAACAATAAAGCCAAGAAACACAACTTTGTCGCACAAAAAAGAGCACTTTTTCAAGTTTACATGAAGGTTCTCCTTACGGAGAAGGAGAACCTTCATGACTTGGCGCAAATAGACTAAACGCACTTTACTTGTATGACTATATCTTAATATCTCACAAAATAAACGACCACAAATGGGCCCATGAAAGGTTTGAGTACCTCAGTTATAACTTGCATAAATGTTCTAGGAGCATTGGAAAGTTCGAATGGCATCACTAACCACTTGTAAAGTCCATTTGGAGTTTTGAAGGCGGTCTTCCATTTATCACCACTCCTCATACGAATACCCGCTTCTCAAGTCTATTTTGGAGAACACCTTGGACCCCAGTAAAATATCAAGCATATCCTCTAATCTAATTGAGGGATGGGAAACTAGTATTTTACTGTAATTTTGTTGATGGCACGATTGTCCACACACATCCTCCATGATTCATCTTTTTTTTTTTTTTTTTTTTTTTAGCAATGCTTGAACAACGCAAGGACTCTTACTCTCACACGCAAAACCCTTAACAATCAACCCTTAACACGCAAAACCCTTACGGAGAAGGAGAACCTTCATGACTTGGCGCAAATAGACTAAATGCACTTTACTTGTATGACTATATATTAGTCTCTCACAAAATAAACGACCACAAATGGGCCCATGAAAGGTTTGAGTACCTCAGTCATAACTCGCGTAAATGTACTACGAGCATTGGAAAGTTCGAATGGCATCACTAACCACTCGTAAAGTCCATTTGGAGTTTTGAAGGCGGTCTTCCATTTATCACCACTGCTCATACGAATATGATGATACCCGCTTCTCAAGTCTATTTTGGAGAACACCTTGGACCCCAGTAAAATATCAAGCATATCCTCTAATCTAATTGAGGGATGGGAAACCAGTATTTTACTGTAATTTTGTTGATGGCACGATTGTCCACACACATCCTCCATGATTCATCTTTTTTTTTAGCAATGCTTGAACAACAAAGGACTCTTGCTCTCACACGCAAAACCCTTAACAATCAAGTCTTCCGCTTGCCTTTGAATTTCAGCTCGTTGTGTGGGTTGCATTCTATAAGCAGGAAGGTTTGGTAAAACTGCACCAGGCACCAAATCAATAGCATGTTGAATACTCCTCATTGGTGGCAAACCTCCAACCAGCTCTTGGAACTCCACCGGTATATGCTAAATTTCAATTGGATACTCATCAAATTTTAAAGGCTGGTCCTCTTGTACTTTCTTAGCAACAAGCGCATGCATAACTCCCATCTCCTTGCTCTCAAGTTCAAACTTGTGGGTTGTCAAAAACCCATTAACTTTGGCAGCCTTAGGAGTGTTGGTAATTTCTTCTTTAAGTGGCTGTAAAGTCAACCTTTTCTCATCTTTATGAAACGAGTAGGTATCATCTTTTTGAAACGAGTAGGTATCGGTTCTAGTTTAATGGATCACATCTTTATCAACCATGGTCTTCCTAATAAGATATGACAGGCATCTATACGAACAATATCACACCAAGCTTCATCGTTAATCATATTACCCATAGCAACAATTAACCAAACACCGTGAAGTGACCGACACCTCATTCCCCTTTCGAAACCATGTAACCTTGTAGGGATTAGGATGCTTTTCAATTTGTAACTTGAGTTTGCGAAATAATGTTATCACTCTTCCTCCATCAAAAATTCTGTTAGACACCTTTCCACCACAAAGTACTCGTGTCTGGAATATTATTGTGTTGTCTCTGGTAGTCTTACTTGACTCTGGGTGTTGTCATCACTAGTCTCACCACCAAAGACTCTCCATCTACCAGAAAAAGATCAATGACTTCCTCTTCGGGAAGTCTTTGGTCCGGGGGAGCCAAAAGCGGACATATCTTGTTGCTTCAAACTATGAAACCTTTAATATAACTCCATTGAATAATCAGCAGCCAGAAATTGCTTTCGCAATTTTGATTTCATATGTTCCCATGTATTGATTTTTTGCTTCCCTTGCCGAGCATGCTGTTCTTCAACTCTCTTCCACCATTGAAGTGTAGTACTCTTCAACTTGAGCTTTACAAACAACACCTTTCTATCTTCTGCGATAGGCTTCCACTCAAAGTAACTCTTTAAGCTTGCCTCCCAATCTAAATAATCTTCGGCATGCATCTTTCCATAGAAGTCAGAAACTTCAATTTTAATTCCTATAACTCTTTAAGCTTGCCTCCCAATCTAAATAATCTTCGGCATGCATCTTTCCATAGAAGTCAGAAACTTCAATTTTAATTCCTCCACCATTCAAATCTAACGCAAGAACCAACTGAGTTGTTCTTCCAATCCGCCGTGATCCAGATTTTCTCGATTTCTAGCATCATGAAATGGATTTTCCTCTTCTTCCTCAAAGTATTCATCCTCAAGACTACCTTCCGGTACGTCCAAGGGGCCGAGGTTGCCTTCCGGAATCTCCATACGGGCTTCTGCACGTTCCTATCGTTGAACAGCTTTCACCGCTCTTGACAGATCTTCAATCATACGCCGCATCTCGGTCATCTCTGTTTGTTGGGCTTGGTTTTCTCTTCCGCAACCTCAACCATGTCCAACCATGGTGTAGATCTAGGGCTTATCCTTTTTTTTTTTTTTTTTCCCCGGCTTTGATACCAATTTGATGCAAGGCAGTAGCGATAAGCTGCTGTCCGGCAACTTAGCAGTGCAAAACCAAGAAAGAAAGGGATTTCCAGCTATAAACAACTAGAAAAAAAAGAGAGATAAAGCAATAGAATCGAAATTGGAACGTAGATAGGTAAGTTCTAGGGCAAAGAGAAACTCTAAATCTGATTATCTGGAATAAAAACTGCATACAAAGTCTCTTAATAGACTATTTATACTAGTGTTACAGAAGCCTAGCATCCTAGCCCTTGATTACTTCAATAACTAATAAATCTTAACCCTCCAAAGTACTTAAAAACTCACCCGACTATTTTAAAAGACTAGGACTATAACTATCGTCTACCACATAACATAAAACATAAAAATCAAATAAGACACATGGAAAATAAGCAGATAACTAAACCCTAAGATAACTAGAACCCAAGCCTAGTTGCCTAGCGGACCCGATTAGTCTTGGTGAGCCTTGTAGATGGTCCTGCATCAGAAGGAAAGGAAATACATCAAATATGACAAAAAAAGTCTATAGCAGCAAGTAAAGGAAATAGCTAGGAAGCAATAACCTAACTTAAGATGAAGTAATAAAGGTTAAGCATAAACCCCAAAAGGTTGGCTCAAGTAGGTAAGTCACTTGACCCTAGTGCCTCATGAAGCATTAGGTCTAAGTTTCGACTCCTCTTGGGTGCAAACAATTTCTTGGGGGTAGGTGTGTGAATATTAACTACGGAAAAATAAAATAAAATAAAGGTTAAGCGTAAACAAAGACTTGGCTAGCAGCAAGCAATGGAAAACACCACAATTAAATTTAAACATGGAAGTAACATTCAATTCGTCAATAGCAGCAAGCAAAGGAAAGGAATTACATCAAAGATAGTCCAAGAAAACTATAGCAGCAACCAAAGGAAATAGCTAGGAAGTAGCAGCCTAACTTAAACTTGGAAGTAACATTCAATTCTTCAATAACATATATACAAAATCAGCAAACTAACATTCATTTTCATCAATACCTCATTGGACACTGCTACTCAATATACTCAATATCAATAGCGTTGGAACATCTGGTTAATGTAAGATCCTCTTGGTTGATCTTCACATTATCAAGTTCCACAATAAGCTTTGTCCAATTCAAGGTCCAAGCTCTCTTCATTCAAACAAAATAAAATGTTAATAAGAACTACTCAAAATAATTTTTAACCATATTCATTTGAGTCAAGCCAAACCTCGGGGGAGGTTTTAACTTAAAAAATTAGAGAAATGAAAACAAGTGATTTGTCAAAGAAATAGTATTTAGTTAACGAAATCTATAATTTTACGAAGTTGAACCTTTTAAAAAATCTGAATAAAGAAGCTTTAAATTACCTGCATAACATCTCTACTTTCTTTTGAGAATTGCGTGTTCAACCATTGAGAGCCACTTTCCAACATTTTGTGAAGAAGTTGATGTGTTAGAAGGCATAGGAGAATCAAGCATACATTCATTAAAAATACAAAAAAACTTGTCACGGACTTCCTGTCCCTCATACAAATCATTACCATGAATCTTCTTGTTGCAAAAAGTCACAAACCCAAACTTGTAGCGAGGTCTAAAATCACGGCAAAAGCAAGGATAACTGATGCTGGAGCATCTACAAGGCTCTCCAAGACTAATCGGGCCTGCTAGCCAACTAGGCTTGGGTTCTAGTTATCTTAGGGTTTTAGTTATTTGCTTATTTTCTATGTCTCTTATTTGATTTTTATGGTTTATGTTATTTAGTAGATGATAATTATAGTCCTAGTCTTTTTTTTTTTTTAAATAGTCATGTGAGTTTTTAAGTACTTTGGGGGATTGGGATTTATTAGTTATTGAAGTAATCAAGGGCTAGGATGCTAGGGCTTCTGTAACCCTAGTATAAATAGTCTATTAAGAGACTTTGTATGCATGTTTTTTTATTCCAGAAAATCAGATTTAGAGTTTCTTTGCCCCAGAACTCACCTGTCTATGTTCCAACTTCAATTCTGTTGTTTATCTCTCTGTTTTTCTGATTGTTTATTGCTGGAAATCCCTTTCCTTTGTGGTTTTGCACTGCTACGGTTGCAGGACAGCAGCCTATTGCTTGCCCTGCACCAAATTGGTATCAGAGTAGAAGAAAAACCCTAGGTCTACACCATGGTTGGACGTGGTAGAGGTCGTGGAAGAGGAAACCAAGCCCAAAAATTATCTCTCCCACAGCGTAAGATCGAGTCTTGTCCAGTCATATTATATGCCTTCTTTAAATTTATGTGCTGCTGGTTGAGTCACTCACACACACACACACTTTCTATGGTTTAGAGATACTTTTACAAGTAGTTTTCAGTTTTTTTGGACGTGGGTGATGGTGATGGCCCATGGGCCTGATATGTGATATCTTCTCTACAATTAATTTTTTGAGTTGATTCTATGCTGCTGAATTAATTACTATAGTAATATTTCTGGAATAATTATTTATTTATTTTTTATTGAGATTGCTCAAATAATATTTTGATTTTTCCAGAGCATCTATAACTTAATATTCTTAGTTATCTTCTAAGATGTTTTTTGTTCTGCTCATTCTTGTTTGTTCTGTATAATGTTTATGTTCTACAGGAAAAGTCTTTGCGTGTGGCAAAAATCAATTGTATGAGCTTTGTGAAGCTGCCAAATTGGCACACTTTTACTGCACTGTTGTGATTTGGCGAATCATCTTTTGGTTACATTTGTTCTATTCACTATGTTTTCTATCTACCATACTTGGGCAATATGTGAAAAAAAAGTTCAAGAGCTTTATTTTTTCATTTTATCTTTGGTCTTTTTCTTTCTTCTATAAGATACTTCACTCCATTTTCTTTTAATTTTATACAGTTTATATACTTGGTGCTGCATTATTGGTATACTTGTATCTCTTTGGAAATGCCAATATGATGGTGATCATAATTTTGTTTTTAGGACGGATTTGGTTCCTGCATATGTGCGCTTGCTTCGGGATAATGAGGCTGAAGTACGTATAGCATCTGCTGCTATAGTCACAAACTTTTGCTGGATTCTTAATCCAGAACTTGCAATTCAGCATATTATTCCCTGCATGAAGGTGCAGTCATCTGTGAAATGCTTCTCTCTCTCTCTCTCTCTCTCTCACACACACACACACACACACACACATGCACACGACGTGCTCACACAAAAACATGTACACACAAATTCTTAAATTTACCTATTATTTCATTAACTTTCTATTTCTGTAACCATCTTATCATTTGGCAACATCGTATAGGAATTATCATCAGATTCTTCCCAGCAAGTTCGGTCCGCTTTGGCTTCATTTGTTATGGGAGTGGTTCCTATATTAGGCAAGGTAGAATATAGTATGATCATTTATGCAATTACTTTTGGTTGAGGGTGTTATTTATTTGATTCTTGCGTGTTCGAATTCAATTAGCATGTTTTGAGTTTGTTGCTCTTTTATTTCCAGGGACATATATATTTTTACTGTGTTTCATAATATTGATTAATTCTATTTTGTATTTCCCTGATTTTTGTCGGCTTATTAGCGACTAAATTTTTAAATTTTTTTTTTTTTAATGAGCAAGAATCTTTTGAATTAGATTATTGAACCATGGATTATTTCACTTATCGAATAATCAAATTCCAATTTTTCATTAGGTAAAATACAGTTTTGTTAAGATCCCTCATTATATGAAGCTTTTTAAACCCTTCCCTTTCTTTCTTTTTTATTTATTATTATTATTTTTTATGTTTCTTCACTTTGGTGGTTTATGCAGAATGCAACAAGTGAACATCTTCTTCCAATAATTCTTTCCCTTCTGAAGGATGAATTTCCTGTTGTGCGCCACAAAATTATCAGCAAGTTTGATCAAGTCATTCAGGTTTGTGGCAGTTTTGAGGTGTTGGACTTTATTCTTCCATACTTCTATTTGGTCCTTTAAACTTATTTAGTTATCTATTGTTATTCAATTTTCCCCTCTCAACCCAACATTGCTGATTTTTTTCTTCAATTACTTTAGCAAGTTTGTAATCAACAAAAATTGTAATGCAAAAAATCACATAGAAGAGAAAACTTGAGCTACAAAGAAATAAGAGTAGATGAAACAGTATGAACTATTGTGATCCACACTATATGTTATTCCTTTTTCTAAAATACATATTTGTTATCATAAGATAACAAACCATTGTGAAGGTTTGAGTAGCCTTCCTAATGTCATTGCTAGTAAAGAACTAGAATGTTCATCACTTCATGTAATAGTGGTATGCTTGTGGGTCCTTGGGTGGTAACGTTCAAACTACTCCAATTCAACTAACGTTCGTCTGTTAATGGAGAAAGCTTGTCGTAGCAGAGATGCGGCCGGAGTCCACTACTCCGACCAGTCCCCGGAGTCATAAATTCTCGTGAAATCCTTTGATACTTTCACGGATCTGATCCGTGGGCTAACGGATTGGTGGTGGATTTAAAATCTCCCAATCCGTTGCAAGCGTAGGATTGATGCCTAATCCGATTCAATCAGATCCGTGGCCACCCCTAGGTGTTATTGATTTCTCATGAAGCTACGAATTTTATCTTGGAATGTCCGTGGCCTCAATGACCTGGGCAAGAGGAAGGAGGTGAAGATGAAAATGGGGGGCTCATTTGGTGTGTCTCTAGGAAACGAAGATTGATTCTATGACTGATCGTGTGTTTAAGAGTCTTTGTGGAAATAGGTTCATGGAGTGGGAGACTTTGAATTCAGTAGGGACTTCTGGAGGCATTTTTCTCATGTGGGATAGAAGATGGATGGCAAAGGTGGATGTTTGTAGGGGGCACTTCTCTCTGTCTTGTATTTTCGAGATGGAGGATGGTTTCTCTTGGTTCTTCTCTGGTGTGTACGGGCTGGTGGATGACTGCAATAGGCCTGTGTTGTGGGAGGAGCTTAGTGGGGTGAAGGGGAGGTGGTCCTTTCCTTGGTGCGTGGCAGGAGACTTTAATGTGGTGAGATCCCCTTCGGAGAGATCTACTAGGGTCCATGGACTTCGGCTATAATTCTTTTTTCGGAGTTCATTGATGGTCATCAGCTTATTGATCTTCCGTTAGAGGGTGCTGCTTTTACTTCGTCCAGTGGTAGGGAGACACCTAGGTTTTCCCGCCTAGATATATTTTTGATCTCTGGAGAGTGGGAGGAGACGTTTCCGGACGCTGTTCAGGCTGCTTTGACTAGGGTCATGTCGGATCACATTCCTTTGGTTTTGGACTGTGGAGGGTTGAGTCCACGTCGTACCCCCTTTAGATTTGAGAACATGTGGCTTAGAGCGGTGGATTTTCAGGGGTTGGTGTGGTCTTGGTGGGAGGAGGACATGGTAGTGGGAACTTTGAGGTTTATTTTAGCAGGAAAGCTTCGCCTTCTAAAAGATAAGTTCAAAAAATGGAATAAGGAGGTGTTCGGTAATTTGGAATGGAGGAAGAATAGGGCCCTTACTGACATTGCAGAATTGGAGAACATGTGGCTTAGAGCGGTGGATTTTCAGGGGTTGGTGCGGTCTTGGTGGGAGGAGGACATGGTAGTGGGAACTTCGAGCTTTATTTTAGCAGGAAAGCTTTGCCTTCTAAAAGATAAGCTCAAAAAATGGAATATGGAGGTGTTCAGTAATCTGGAATGGAGGAAGAATAGGGCCCTTACTGACATTGCAGAATTGGGCAGAGTGGAAGCAATGTGTGGTCTTGTTGAGTCTTAACGTAATAGGAGAGTAGCTTGTCAGGCAAAATGTGGTGAAATTGCGGTTTTGGAAGAAATCTCGTGGCGACAGAAATTTTGGGCCTTGTGGCTCAAAAGGGAGACCGTAATACAAAGTTCTTTCATTGTAATACAAATTTCGGGATGTGTGTGGACGGAACATTGTTGAGTTCTGAGGAGGAAGTGCGTACGGGGATCGTATCTTTCTATGAAGCACTGACACGTGGGATTGGGTCATCGTACCGGTGTCGGACATGTGTCCGACATGGACACGAGTGTTGGAGGCTTCGACACGTGTCTGACACCTCTGTAGAGGTGTCCTATTTTTTTATAATATTTTTCATGCCGGACATGGTGAAGGACACGCCGGCGACACGCATAGGACATGGGATTCAGATTTTTTGTCAAAAAAAATAAAAAAAAAATAAAAAGATATATACACAAGCGGGATCTTCTTGAATTTATCCGGCCACAGTCGGAGCAACCGGACTGATTGATCGGCGAGATGGTTTCAGATCAGATCCACTTCGTTCCCCTTCGCACACCGAACTTTGATGGTGTCTATTCTACTCTCAAAGTTTAATCAACTTGAACACTTTGCTCTTGGATCTCTCTAGGAAATGATCGGCAGGATGATGCTTCTGCTCTGTCGCTCTCTCTCTCTCTCTCTCTCTCTGCTCTGTCGCTTTCTCTCTCTGCTCTGGTGGCGTACAAAGTGTGTTAGTGACTTAGTGCGTTTGACTTTTGATTTTCTATACAATTAGGGTTTGTCTAAGTGAATGGGCTTGGGCTATATTTTGGGGCAAAAAGTTTATTAAATAAATAATGGGATATATTTTGAGGCAAAAAGTTTATTAAATAATGGGCCTAAAATTTGTGTTTATTAAATATAAATTAGAAATTGAGTAAAAATAAATAAATAAATAAATATATATATATATTGCCGTGTCCGTATCCTGTTTTATTGAAATTTGCCGTATAGTCGTATCCGCGTCGTATCGTACCCGTGTACCGTGTCTGTTTTTCATAGGTATCTTTCTATCAGAGGTTGTACACTGAGCCTCTTCGTTGGAGGCCGTGCCTTGATAGTCTTCATTTTGATTCTACTTTAGTGGAGGAGAGGGACGGGTTCGAGAGACCCTTTACGGAGTAGGTGGTTCTTATGGCGTTGAGGAGTTGTAATGGTGACAAGGCTCCAGGTTCGGATAATTTCACTATACGATTCCTTTTGGAGAGCTGGGAGGTGGTTAGACAAGAGGTTATGGGCATTTTTCATGAGTTCCATTCTAATGGGAGGTTCCAAAAGTCGCCAAATACTTCTTTTATTGCTCTTATCCCCAAGAAGGGAGGGGCAACTGACGTAAAGGACTTTAAAAACCCATTAGTTTGATTGGGTGTATTTATACGCTCATTGCTAAAGTCCTTGCGTTAAGATTGAGGGAGGTTATGGACGGAGTTATTTCAAAATCTCAAAATGCGTTTAGTTGGGGTAGATAGATCCTGGATTCTGCCCTTATTGCCAGTGAATGTGTGGATTTTAGGATCAGTAGCGGGACTCAGAGAGTTTTGTGTAAGCTGGACATTGAGAAAGCCTATGATCATGTTTGTTTGCTGGAAGTTTCTGTTCTATCTGTTAAAGAGGATGGGTTTCGGAGAGAGATGGAGGCGATGGATTGAAACTTGCATCTCGTCTGTCAGATTCTCGGTGTTGGTTAATGGGGCTTCATTCGGGTTTTTTGACAGCTCTCATGGTTTGAGGCAAGGGGACCCTCTCTTCTCTTTCCTGTTCATTATTGTCATGGAGGCTCTTAGTAGGTTGATGAGGAGGGTTGTGGACTTGGGGTTCATACGGGGCTTCAAGATTGGTTTTGACTCAGCCCATCAGTTGGAAATATCTCATTTGCTCTTTGTGGACGACACTCTGGTTTTTTGTGAGGCAGAGGTGTCCCAATTGAGATATTTACGATGTGTCCTTGTTTGTTTCCAGGCAGTCTCTGGGCTGAAAGTTAACCTGAGAAAGAGTGTGCTTGTCCCTGTGGGGGATATTTAGGAGGTGGAGTCTCTCGCAGCTGTTTTAGGGGGTGGGACGAGCTCCTTCCCTATTTCTTATTTAGGCTTGCCTTTGGGTGTCTTGTCAAGGAGGGTGGGAAGCTGGGACCCGGTGATTGAGCGTTTCGAGAGAAGGCTGGTTGGGTGGAAGAAGCAATATCTTTCGAAGGGGGGAAAAGTTACTCTGGTGAAGAGCACTTTATCTAGTCTTCCAACTTATTTCCTTTTGCTCTTCCAGATCCCCTCTGTTGTTGTTAGAAGACTTGAGATGCTTCAACAGAACTTTTGTGAGGCGGTAGAGGGGAGGAGTTTAAGTATCATCTTGTTTGATGGGAGCAGGTTTGGAGGCCCCTTAGGGTGGGAGGCCTAGGGATTAAGAGACTGGCCCCCGCTCTCCTAGGTAAGTGGCTATGGAGATTCAGCAGTGAACGACATATGTTATGGAGGAAGGTTGTTTTGGGTTGGTTATCTTTTTTTGTGGTTACTGTGACATCGCTTTATATTGATCTTTCAGAATATGACCTATATAGCACAATGAAGTGGGCTCTGCGTGAGACTTTGAAACAATTGCATGTCAGCTCACTTCTATAAATTCAGTTGTTTTTAGAATCCTTCAGAACAGTGATTGAGAATTTAGATTATGTTGAAATGCAATATCAGTTCTTATGCAGTCGGCAAGATGGATACAGTCTCTTTATTGTGAGTAAAAACGAGGTTGACGATCTGTACCTTGTCTATAGGGTAGATGATATAGAGGGTGATGGTGGTGCACCTGAGTTCCTCTTTGATGTACCTATGAAAATCAATATGAATTTAAGTGCCCAATTAATTCAGTCCATGGTTTGTTGGCCATTAACTCAACGATATGGAATCCAATTACACTTCAAAAGTACCTATAAAATGCCTATCTTTGAAGTTTCCCGACCTATTCCACATAGAATGTGCAACAAAAATTGATTTTCAACCTCACATTTATCTAGGTATGATCCCTCAATCAAGAGGTATAAAGTTCTTCTCTGTTGTAAGGTGGAATCTTCTGCTGATCGAATGATTCAGTATTACTTGTTTACACTCCGTACAAATGATGCCTGGCGAGCGTCAAATCATGTACCCTT